TAACATTTCCAATATAATCCAATCGTAGGCTATCCATTAATCACGGGGAAGCTAACGTAGTACTGGTTATTATAATTTTTATTCCCGATCTTGGAAAATATTTTCGCAAATTCTTCTTCAATTCTGTACGACTTAGTTGATGGAAAAGTTAATGGAAGTGTTTACTGTTTAATGAGACTATTTTTCTCATTCTTCTCTCTCGAGAGGATTCGGAACGGAATTAAAATAATCTTTATTCTTATTTAATTTACAACCATAGCCGTATGATTAGCGGCCCAGAAAGTAGATCAAGACACCTCTCGATTACTTCTTCCGTCTGTTGTAGCAAGTCAATCTTTATTAACGAAGGAATTTTTTCTTAACAATCTGCAGGTTTTCTTATCGTAAGATTCCTATTATTATTATTATTATTATTATTATTAGAAATTTAGCCAGAGAATAAATTCTAAGACTAAAGTCTTAAAGCACTAGCATCTAAGGCTTTCGGCTTTATTAAAAACTCTACCGCACTTGAGATTTGAACCCACGACCATTGAGTTGCTAGTCGAGACTCTTGCCTACTCGGCCACTCAGGCGGATGTAGGATTCCTAAATTACATGTACTTAGGGCAAACTTTTCATTTCTTACAGTTTCGAACAATAATTTGCTTTCCAAGAATTTTGGACAGACTAAGGTGCATGTGTGGCGTGGAAGGGAGCTTTATCCTTAAAAAATATTTGAGAACCTCTTAGTATACGATGACTCTAAGCTCTTGCAGATTTGTATGTAACAACTGTAAGATTCCTATATCAACCTTTTCGGGAACGGTAATAGAAGAGTTTACTTGAGTTAAGTGTGCTGCTGCTTTCCTCAGATGCTATTTGTCCTGTATTTCTTCCTCGCCTTCATAGATTTCTTTTGCCCGAATGAACGATGTTCTGGGGCCCTGGGCATGACAAGGAATTTTTTTTTTTTTTTTTCTTGAGGGGAGTGGATGGTGTTAACCGTTTCATCAGACTCTAACAAACTGCGCTTTTCTGGTCCCACCAAATACAGCGGATGGCATGAATGATACGCTCACATGTATCCACGAATTTTGAAGCCTTGGACTCTCAAAATAGATCCACTTTCACCTTCAAACAAAAAAGATTTTCCTTTATGTCAATTTGCGTTGCGCTATATGTCGATGCTACGATTGCTTAATGTTGCACGTTACAAAAAATAAAAACACAACTTTAGACTTGTATGTCTTCACACGCTGCTCTATAGGGGAATATTGGCTTCACATATCCGTAACCGATAGAATTTTTATAATCAAATTTAGATGTTTCGAGCGTTTTGCGATCTTATTATAATAGATTACGAATTGCTCCCGTAAGCGATGTTAAAGTGTTTGTGTTTCACTGTTTCAACATGCCAATAACATTCACACGAATGGATATCGACGACTAGGCTAGAAAGTATTTGCTTGCTTATGGCATATTTAATCCACGTGATGGTAAATTATTCTAAAATGGGTGATGAAATTAATATACCCTCTTCCTTGAGCGGTGTATGTAGAAAATAAACTTCAAAAAGCCCAAAAGTTAAATGAAGAAATAAAGGAAAGAAAAAAACTAATTAATATTATTTGTATGGTCTCTTTGGACTTTTAAAATTGTTCTCAGTAAGTTTTATGCAAGGCAGAGGAAGAGATGCCTGCTATACTTTATTCTTCATGTTGGATTACCTGATAACTATATACTCAGGGGCTGTCAATTTGTTACATGCCTTCCTTCTGTTTAATGATCAATTCGTTGCATTACTCTCTGATCATACCGCCGTCGGTAATGACCATTCTTTCTTTCTACTATACCTCCATTGCATTGCATTGCATTACGGAGGAATTTTTGGAACCTTAATGAGTTTTGAAAGGTGGGTGGGTGTTAAGTACTTGCTACACACGCAGCTTATATATATAAAAAGTTTTAAAATCAATAGACTTAATGCCTTGTCGCTCTGTTGCAAGGCCTTTGTGTGCACCAACAGTGAATTTTTGCAAAGAAGATGATGAATTATGACCGGCAAGTTGGCTAATGTGCTGGCAGACATTCTGTCTACCACATATGCTGCACATGCGCTGTTAAGATTAGAACGTCTGCAAAGGGGTTTGTTTTTTTTACTTCTTTGCTTTTGTAGATACACTTTCCATTTTAAAGACTTGCATGCTACTTAAAATGTGGGCCAGACATTTTTTTTCTTTTTTTTTTCGTTTTTATACTAATTGAAGTATTAAGACATAGATGTAACTAAATTTGTAAACTTCTCTTATAGTTGGTGGCTAACGAAGGATGAATGTCTGTTAATATTATCATTATGATTGGAACGCTCACATAAAACACATCAAAGGTCTCATAAAATGTCAATATTTTCAATTCAGACAACATTTCATTTATTTTGTTGAATAATAAGCCTACCGCCCTATATTATCATAGTCGCAAGATTAGCGATCGGAAGGACAAAAGAAAGCAACTTTCTTGTAGTTATCTAAAATCTCAAAGGGAAATTCTCTCGCACGTGATTAGTTAAAAATTTGCAATTATGGACATTTAAAAATCGCTCCATAACAAACGTAAATTTCTTATCATCTAAGGTGATTGAGAAGATACTCATCACTCGAACGTTAAGTTGATCATTGCTCTTTGAATAGTTCGGTTAAATTATACTGCAGATGATGCTAAGAAACAATTCCGGAGTTTTTCGTAAAAGAGCTTTACTTTGAGGTTATGTCGAAGCACTTCTTCTTTCTCTTAATGTATGCGTTTACTAGGAAAGTAAAGCTTCTAAAAGCTTCTTTGTTGGCATATGCGGCTCTTAATTTTCGACGGTTGCCATTGAATAATCGAGAAATATTGGAGCATTGGCGGAAAATTTGAATTTTTTGAACGCTGGGACCGTATATCAATCACGAATCGATTCGTTATTTCGAATTGGAAGAGCAGATCATATTGGAAGCATGTCAATGATGTTGGTAGGTGCTCTCAATACGAAGTTCCTTCATAAGACATAATCCGAGAAGAGATTTTGTTATCGAAGACGATGACCGTTATCATAAGGCGGAAAAATCCTACTTAAGTAATTCATTTTTTTTATCGAAGAGGTATTATAAAAGAAATGAATAAGAATACTAAATCTCATTTTACATAAACTGTTCCAAAAGTGAATAAAAAAAAACTCTTTGCTCTCTTCTTTGTTTTTTTCTAATTTGTTAAAATTATGCAATAAACACAATTTAAGAGTAACGATGCATCGGAGAGGGTATTCGGTTAGCGAAAAAGTCTTCCCGCGTATTCATATAGTCTTAAACCTCTTTATGTAGAGCGTAAAGAATAACTTTTTGGTTAATACTCTTAGATGAATTTTTTTTATTATATCCTTTACTATTTCCCGAGGGACTTGAGATAGATACACCTTCTATTATACCGATTGATTCAGAATCATTTGCTGAATCGATTTAAGCTCGTCTGTCCGCCGGTATCTACGCCTGTGCGTCTGTGCGAAGCAGTTCAGATTGCGACACTTTTTCGACCATACCCCATACAAGACCTTATTTTCAAAAGTCATTTTATGAATAATTGTACTAAGCAAAGTAGTGTGGGGTATTTAATGGTGGACTCAGCTCCACAATAATGTTTTCACTTTTTTTTCTAAGAAAAATCCATTTGTGATTGAGATGGAATATTTTAGGTCATATATAAAAAATGTATAGAGAGTGATCACATTTCTTCAGTGGGCGAACGCAACGAGTAATCGTTGCCAGTTTCTGCTTCTAAAGCGAAATTTTTGGATAACGATTTGCTTTTAAATTGGTTGAAGTCAATCATTGTATCGGAATCGAAACAGGGTAGAGCTATCTAAATTTGCACGAGCCCTTGGTTAGGCCACTTTGACCTTCTCAGAAATATAAATATCGAGCAGAAATTTAAATATACATTTTGTATATATTATCCTGTTAATCGGTTCAAATTTTTGTTTTAACTTTTCCAACTACCTAATATGATGTGAAAAAAAGACACACCTTCACCTACGTAAAACGCTAAGCCTAAATTTCTCTTCCTTGGGGAACGAAGAGAAACAAATCGAAGAAAACCTTGCGATTGGCACTTGCGTTGCCGTAAAAACGACGACAAAAGATCTTCAAAACACTAGCAAAGTTAAATTGTTGTTCGCCTTCATTGTGCAATGGCTGTCATCAAGAGCAAGAGAGCAACGCGTAGGTGTGTATGTGTGAAGGCGTTATTTTCAATATTTTAAAGATTCTTAACAGTAAAGTAATAGTAATAAGTATGTAAGGATCAGCTCTTACTTTAGTATGAAATTGAGTTCGAAACGGGTAAAACGCAACGGAAAATTACGGAAGATCATAAAACGACAGTTCCCTTAACAAAGTCGATTAAGCAAAAAAAAAAAAAAAAAGAAAGAAAAACAAATATGTAACAAGAAATTATAAAAATTGGATGCAAAATTTTAGTGAAGAGAAGTCTGCTTATGTGAAATACGAAAAATATTACATAATTTTAATAGAGGAACTGTTACAAACATGACATTAGCAGCGGCAATGCACAGGCCGTTCATAAATGGATATTCTTCTATGCAAGGTAAGACTTTTCTATCAGTAGACAGACTTGCTTTCATTCTAAGTGATTCCGAATTTTCTTTTCTTTTTTTTTTTAACGATCACATCCAACTCAAGGCAGTTTTTAGAAAGAAGGTGTCATTAAAATTAACTGGAAGCCGGGTTGAAAAACCTATTCAAGATTAAATATTAGTAAATATTCAAAGCTTTCAATTTTCGTCTTTGCGTTATCCAAAACGCTATTAGAGATTGAAAAGTCTGTCCGCCATTTCTTATTTTCGAAAAGAAGAAATATGATCGACTTGAGAATCGATCCCTTGCTTGCTTACGCGGAAACCCTTTGGCCGTAAAAATTGTAAAAAAGATTTTAATAAAAGTAGAAAGAGTGACGGGATTTTCTTTTCAAGCCATTAACAGTTTTAGTAAACACCTGATCGAACATTGTTATTTTGATATTTGATTTCATCGCGCCTCTCTTTGTCTACAAGATAAATTCAATTCGATTTCAAGTCCAAAATGAATGAATGAATATTTGGTTTTGCTGTTGATGCCAATCTGGGCAATGGATTTTGTGACGGATTTGCACCGAATCTTTTCGTAGTCGCAGTATATTGGTGCCGGCCATCAAGCAAAAATGTCGCTCAATACCTCAAGGCTTCAATAAGTTTGCCATGTAATCTTCCCGTTTTTTGAATAATTTCCATCGCCTTCCAATGTGCGTAGTTACAAGTCCCGCTATTTCAATAAAAGATTGCCATGATGATCGTTACTGTTACGTGAGTAATTTAATTAATTCTCTGCGTAAAACAACTCGAGTGAATATGTTCCATGATCTTTCCGTGAATGCCACTTTGACTGCTCGAACTCATCCATTTTGAAAACGACAAAGAGCTTGCAAAACAATTTTCAATGAGTTAGCAAGGGTAACTTCTAAGTCGGCTAAACCGAAATTAATTCCCCGTAGGCTAGACCATACTTTAATTAAGAATGATGTTTGACGGTAACTATAGCGGGGGCTTGGTTGGTAGAGGCATCGATCGGAGACACATACTTCTTAGCCAGCGTTCACTTTCTATCTCTCTCCTCTCACTCTTTCTAATCACGACAGTACAGGGGGCATTGTCTGAGTGAATAGTCGCAAAAAAATTTTATTGATGGCCGGAAATTATTCAACCGAAGTTTAAATTTTCTTTTTTTTTTATAAAATGACCAATTACCCAGACGATCTTCTCTATTCGTCTGAGACGTGAGGGCCAGAAAGAAGAAAAAGTGAAGCAAGGGATTGGTATAGGAATGTGGCCACAGTCTAGCCAATCTTTGTGCCTTTACTAACTGAACATTCACTATACCTGCGGGCTTTTAGACTATGCAATGACTCCACATATTTGAACACAATTCTGATCATCTGTCTAGAGAAGATTGATTTCGCCCAAAAACATACGCCCGAATAGTAGAATAGTAGGCAGAACGGTTATAATGACTAAACAGTCTTCTACAGAGGGAAACCTCAACAATTCGTGTAATTGATGGTAGATGGAATTGAACTCTAAAGAAACATGTTTTCCTCGCTTATGCCTTCAAATACTAATCAAAACACGGTTAGATTTTTATTAGAAATATTGGTTCGATCTGGAGGAAATATTTATAACGATAAGGACATCTGCTAAGATATTTTTCCAAATATTAGTTTTCTGTGATAATAATAAAATTACTATTATTAACTTATAGAGTGTTTGTCATCATTCAATTGTCGTATTTAACTGACCTTGTCTGCTGAATGCTAAACGAAATTCCTAGGAAGTGAACCTCGCTTGGCATGAATTATTATAAGGTTGTAAATCAAGTGCCTCTCAGTGAGAACCTTTCATTCTAATGGAAAGCACGCGAACATAAATTTTTATTACCTGATCTCCGATTGTATTTGCTTTTATTTTGAAAATAACCGTCGGGTGTCGATGTAGACTTTTAAAGAAAAAACCAAAAGAGGAAAATTATTTTGTCTTTTCATTTTTTTCTTTTATTTATTTTTTCTTATAGAAGTAAGTCCTGGTCAAGGTCGTGTCAATCAATTGGGTGGTGTTTTTATCAATGGTCGCCCTTTGCCCAATAGCACCCGATTAAAAATTGTCGAAATGGCAGCTGCCGGCACAAGACCCTGTGTCATTTCGCGACAATTGCGTGTCTCGCATGGTTGCGTATCTAAAATTTTGAATCGTTATCAGGAAACTGGTTCTATACGTCCAGGCGTAATTGGTGGCTCAAAGCCACGTACTTTTACTCCTGAAGTTGAAAGTCGTATTGACGATTATAAGCGAGCTAATGCTGGCATGTTCTCGTATGAAATTCGAGAAAAATTGATAAAGGACGGTGTTTGCGATCGTACTACGGCGCCTTCTATATCTGCTATATCCCGTTTAATACGGAGTCGTGATGTACCGCAGATGGAACGTGATGAGTCGCAAAAAATATCTGGCTCAGAAGCGACGAATTCCCACGAAGATATATCCGATTGTGAAAGTGAACCCGGGATTGCTTTGAAACGTAAGCAACGTCGCAGTCGAACAACTTTCTCAGCTATGCAGCTTGAAGAGCTGGAGAGAGCTTTCGAGCTTACACAATATCCAGATATTTTCACTCGTGAGGAACTGGCTCAACGCACAAATTTATCCGAGGCGCGAATTCAAGTCTGGTTCAGTAATCGTCGTGCTCGCCTACGCAAGCAAACTACTTCGTCAGGAACTGGTACTAATTTAAATCAAATTTCGGTGATACCATCGGCAAGTTCTTCGTATTCGGGTGTATCCCATCAAATGCCTTATGCCACTATGATACCAAATGACGCATCCGCCGCTGCAGCCGCCTATTATGATTATTACAACAACACTACTGCCGCAACCAATCTATCACCCAACACTACCAATTCCAGTGTAACATCAATTACACCACCTCATCATCACCAATTTTGTAGTGTCAACAATGCCACGCAATGCATTATAACAGCACCAAATATGAATACAATGACGGGGAATCTTTCTTCGTATATGGTTGAAGCGGATGCAAATCAAACGATAATAAAAAATGGCAGTCCTCCCAGTGAGGCGAACCTAACAACAACTTATGGTACATCAGGAGCACAATTGCCGCCAACTCCGAACAGCTTAACAACTACGGCAGCTCCATGTTCAAACTCTGGTCACGGTCACAGCACTGAAGATGCTTACGGTGCGACGATACTTAAAACGGAAAGTCCACCTCATATACAACAGCAAGGCATTTATCCCAATTGGACAAATACGCTGCCGCCATCGTCAGCTTTAGTAACGACTAGGCCCCCAGCACCCCTTTCACCAGAGAGTTCGTTAAACTCCAATAACTTAGATGTTGTCCCGCTTACCTCCCTGGCAGGTCCCACAGCATCTACATGCTCCCAAAATCATAATTTATATCATCATTCTCCAGCTCAATATGCGAATTATGCTATCGGGGCTCACTATCATCACCATTCCCAATATGGTTCTCAATATTCATCAACCGCCTCGCAACAATTACAGTTTCATCATAGTGGTGGTATTGCATCGCCTGCTGCCTCAGCACATTTTATGCAACAAAATTTTACAAGTTTCGGTTCACCTTCCAAAGTTAATTATGCGGGCGTCCCTCCTACATTTTCCTCACCGTGGTATTAAAAAGTTTTGTTGATCTGAGGTTGAAGATTTAATGTGCAAAACGGGCTTTTTCTTTTCTTATGTATAGTCTTCTATTTGCTTTGGCTTTTTATTTAATTCCTCCATTGTAGAACATTATGAAAGTTAGCCAAAGACATCCCTTACGAATTTTCAATCTCTAATCATTTGTATTCCATCTTGATTCCATGTGAACTTCGGAAATTATGCATGAGTAGCCGCGTAGGTAAGGATCGTGAATACCAATCCAGTGTTCGCCGGTTCAAATTTCAGTGCGGAAGCGTCTACTTTCACTCGTGGCTGTAGCGAGTGAAAGCAGAACATTTGTCGATTGGGCCCACATCCACCAGACTGCGGCCACCGCCTCCCTCTTTCTTTCTCTTTCCTCTTCTTCGAAAAAAGGACATCCCCAAAGTGTTTGGTCACATAAAAAAAAAAAAAAATATCACTCTCGCCACAAAATGATTACAAAATCCGCTCCTCACGTATGGCTGAACAAACTCTGCCTGATTTTAAGCAAAAATTCGATTTTTAAAATTACGTGGATGGACAGATAAGTATGTACACTACAAATTCATCTTCTCTTGAACATAAGTAGGAATGCGAACGAGCACATGTTAATAAACAATGAGTCAGAAGTTGTTCCGGCTTCATTCTTGTCATCTTTGTTATTTTATTTTTTGCTTTACTTAAGTTAGAAAGCGTGCAACTAAAATATTTTACTGATTTTAAATTTAAGTAAAAATTGACTTTCTATTATAGTCTTAATAATGTAAACGTGAATAAATTCGTAAGATAAGTAATTAATTCTTTCCATTTGCAGGCACTTTTGACTTTTATTTAGAAGTTTTCCTAACTTAATCTCTGGACTAAACATTTCATAAAGACATTGTTTGTGGTTTTAAGCCTACTCGGCTTTGACTAACTTTAAGATGTGATTTAATTTTCTTTTCGTCTATTTTCCTTCATTCAATAATTCTTCTTCTTTTTTTTTTTTTTTTTGAACAAAAGTTAAGAAAGTTTAATTCTTTTCTTAGCATAAAGTAGTCTTCCGACAGTTTTGATAATAAAAAACTTGACTCAACTAAAATATATTATATAACCTTTACATGTACATTAACATTGCTGATTGTTGTAGACATTTAAGATTCCATTTGCGACGAGCACAGTCTCACTTGGGTAACTATATGTAAAATTGTGTTAATAATGTGTAGTTTTAAAATAAATTAAAATAAAGTAAAGAAAGAATAAAATTTTTATCACTTATTACTTGTGACGAGAAAGAAAAATAAAGAAAAGTTAACAGATTTGTCTTCACGCCCATCATCGAAGGATGGGGAGTCTATTCATTTTGCCCAAACGTTTGCAACGTCCAAAGACGAATTGTTTATATTCTTGATCAGCATGTCCGAGCAAGTCCGAGTCAATTTAAACATGTCTGTTGGCAGCAAGGTTGACCGTTCGTAGCTTGACATTCAAAATGGGCTAAATAGAACGAAGGGCAAGTCCACAGTTTAAGATAGACGTCCATGGACGAAGATTGCGAGCAGCTCGAATCGGACGACTTTTTCGACCCCATATAACGCCCAGTTTTGAATAGTCGTTGCATGCATACTTGTAGGAAAGTTGGATTTTCATTGAGAACTTGTCGCCCACTTGTTTGATTGTTTAAAGAATCTACCTGGGTGAGATGTTGCCACCCAAGCAATAATCAAAATTTCATTTTTGAAGTTAAACTTGACATTAATTCTTTAGTACATTTTTTCATTCGTTTTGAAGGTCCAAAATTGAGAGCGAATATAAACAATAATTAGCCGATGAAGAAATTGGTGTGAAATTTGATACAAAAAGTTAGCCAGGCTGCCATCAACCTATGAAGAATACCCGAAGCAGTTTCAATAGAAAAGCTCTAACACTTTTTGATCACAGTGCGCTTGAGCTATTAAATTTCTTGTTGATTTTGCTCCTTCCCGCTATCCACTTCGTGTATTCTTGCAATTCCCACTGTCGTGAAAGCGGCGCGACAAAGCCAAACTTCTTGCTTTACCATAGATTCAGTTGGAAAGAGGGTGTAACTCGTCCGTAAAGCTGAGCACTAAGCACTCGTAGTACACTCAGTAGCGTACTATGATTTTTCGCGGCGTACCGGAAATAGGAGAGGAATAGCAAACTCAACTCAAATGTCTACCGATTACGTTCTATTTGCACGATCTAGCTACGTCTGACTTCTTGGCTTTGCTCACTCAGGAGACGTAGTTTTGACTTTTCAAACGATGGTGAATAAGCATATCTCGTCAATTACCGAAGATCTTGGCGTGAAATTTGACACATTTGTTAGATAGATTGCTGTCAACGTAGGGAAGAAACTACTCGCTTGTGGATATGTTTTCAGGGTTTAAATGGAAAAATGTTACCTTCCACCTTTTGATGACATTACCTAAGTGTACATGTGTATACTAAATGGAAAAAATAAGCAATCTTAGCCTTCGGTAGTCGCTGTAAGGAGTACATTTAAGTAGCAAAAGTCTTTGAAAACACGCTGCAGGACATCTAAAGGAATAAAGCAAGCCATGAAACAAACGTAGAACTATAACATTTTTATTCAAGTAAAGGATACGTACGCTGCAAATATTCAAAGATATTGAAAAAATTTCCAAACTCTTTTTATGAGGTTTCGATAGTGTTTCCCCTATTTGAGGAAGTGCGTAAGTAAAATGCTTCTCTTCAATTCAAATAAGGTGTTAATGACTTTATTAATTTTTCTCTTAATTCCTTTTCGCACCTTATTTATGTGCCGGTTTGTTAGTTGCATTCTACGAAACATCTAAAGGATATTTGATGTAAAAGAAAAATTAAAAAACAATTCTTTTGCAGATAATCCTCAGCAATTGTTATCAAACTTTTGATCACCGAAGCGGGTCATTTCGCTTACGTTGGCATAAAATTTGTTTTTATCTGTCTCGCTCGATCTCTTCGTAACTTAGATACACCTAAAAGACACCCTATTCTATTATTTTTCCTATTTAGCAATCAGTTCGGTAGTCCCTAACTAAAACAGTGTTTTCCTCTTTTTATTTTATTTTTAGCAACATCTTGTACTAAACGACATTCGCCAAGACTTGCCTCTCACTAAGAAAAAAACAATTCTATTTCATTTCTAAACAAGTGGTCTTGGCTCCAGGCACTTATTTATTATAGAACGTTAAATTTTTCCAATAATCGCTCCAGTGGTATATAAAATGCGTTAGCTGCAAAAGATGGCTTTCGAAATGTGTTCTAAGTGAATGATTATAATGGAAGTAATTCTGCTTTTACTGAAGTAGGGTGAAAAATGGTTAACGGATTTGAGTTTTGAAAATCCTTTTGATCATCTACATTTAATCTTCCTATTAGCAGATAATTGCCTTGGATTTGTGTTTTCAAAACCGTTTGACTACGTGTCTTGCATCTTCAACTTTACAATTGGCTCAGTCATGATTGTGTGGCGCCAAGTTTACTTTAAATACCTTCTAAGTCCTATTGTGTCGATTAGTCAGCTTCACTTATCTACAGACACTCATTCAAAATAATTGCAATAATAACTAATGTAATAATTAAAGAAATAAATATATTTACACCAAAAAATTAAATCCGTCGATTAAAGTGCGGCCAACACCCGCAGCAGATTACCAAAATTTTAGGAACTGAAAGACAAATTTTCATATGAGCATATTATTGCAAGTGAATATTAATTTTGAACAAGCGGGCAATTTAATGATCTTAGGATATGACAGAGAAAAAGCAAGCAAAGGAATTATAAATAAATGTAAGGTATATAAGGTTAGATTAAGCTTAGCTTAAAAGCAACATCGCATGTCAGTTAGTTTTGTTAGTTATTGGGAGAATAGTAGAACGTCCAGTTGTCCGGAGAAGTAATCAAAAAGTTCCTTTAACTGTATCGAGATACTGCGAGTTCAATGTCGTACCAATTATGACCTCCACTTACCTTTGCGGATGATAAGTAAAAACTTCAACGAATCGTATCACAAGTTCTTCTTGGCAGATAGCAAAAAAGTTGTTTAGAGAAAACTTTTCAGAAACTAAACCGATGGAGTGATCACCTAGCAATAATACGTAGCGCTAGTAGTAGCGGTACATAGTGGATAGTGCAACTATCTCTAAGGTTCGCTAAAGCTGGATTTCAAGGTTTACTGCTGTGTCCAGAATCTATTCGTCGCCTTCAACGCAACCGACAAATTCATATAATATTTCTTGTTAATAGTATGATCCGGCGGAAGTAATTCATAGCACGCAACATTATTACAATCGAAAAAAACTGTCCACATCACATTGACTTTGACTTTGAGAGACTTTGCGGAGGTTTTTTTTGGTCTTCGCTCACCTTTTGCACGGTATTCGCTTGATTCAAGTCTCATCTCCCGTAATAAGGCGTTTCATGACTTTTTGTGTCGTACAGATCAAAGCGCAGTTGCGGCACTAATGAAATTTGGCACAGATGTCTGTCACGGTTTAGAAAAACTATATTTTTGACATTCGACATATCCGTGCAATTTAACTTGAATATTGGTCGCCCTTTTTGGTCATAGTATTATGTTAGGTGCATTTAAATTTAATTATGGGTGAAAGTTCTTCATGGTGCTACGATAACTCTTTGTCAATTTTCCTTTTCATTGCTATGGTAGGCTTTTTGGGTTAGTGCTTCAGTTTTAAGTTTTTGATGACTACGCTTATGAAGTGATCATATCATATATTATATACGATCATATCCCCTAGAATGCATTTACATTCCACGAAACATTGAAAGAAGTTTCTATTACGCTTAAGAGTTTAAGAAAAGGTCAAAGTACAGAAAACGTGGCAACTAACAAAAAGAAAAGTTATATTCACCCTACGATAATTCAGGGTTACAAAAACCTTTATAAAACTTTTCGCCGAATGGTTTAGTTATGGACGGAGGGACATAGCTGCGAGGTTTACGAAGTGAATGGCAACCCTGATTACTTCAGGAGTTTATGGAAACGAAAAGGGTAAAAAAATGAACGACTTAACAAATATTGATTACACTTTTCTTAAATACTTGCGAACTTTTGCCAAAGCGAAATTTTTTTCGAACAAATTTTGTTATCGTAGTAGCTCCGACAATACGCAATAATTTGGTACATAAAATGACAGCAGGGGAAAGCCCAATTGCATTTCTGGATATTTAGAAAGGAGCACTAAATTAGTTTATTCAATAATAATGTATTGTTCAAGTAACAACATCGTGAAACAACATCGCGGACTTACTTACATACTATACTTCTACATTTCCCTAAAGAAATTTTTCCTTTGATAAAGTCTGCCTACCAGCTTGATCGGGATGTATATGGGTGTATCATGTGTCCTAGAGAGTTATATTTTTTAATGCGATCAGGAGATTGCTCC